CCTTCCGCTCCGGGCATGGCGGCGGCGGTGGCGGTGGCGGCGGGGCTGGGCTCCGGTCCGGCGCCCCTGGGGCCGCGGCGGGCGCTGCGGTGGCTCTTGGCGCTGCTGGCGGTGGCGGCGCCTCGGCCGGCCGGGGCGGGTCTGTACCAGGCCGGCGTGGACCCGGTGTGGGTGCTGGAGGGCGGCTCGGTGCGGGGGGCGCTGCGGGACGCGGCCTCGGCCTGGCTGGTGCAGTTCTACTCGTCGTCCTGCGGACACTGCGTGGCCTTCGCGCCCTCCTGGCGCGCCCTGGCCGGGGACGTCCACGGTGAGCCGGGGAGGATGGGGGAGGAAGTCCAGGCCTCGGGGGAGAGCCCCCCCCCCGGGCACAGCCTGCCTTGCCCTCCTCCCCATCATCCCCAGCCCGAGGGGAGGCGAAGGCATCGCCTTGGAGGGCGCCCGGTTGGGGAAGCGGGGCTGAGCAGGCCGCTTCGTGGGAAAAGGGCGTTTAATTGCAGGGAGATCCTGGCGCGGGGGGGGGGTCATTTTGGCACCCCGGTTCTTGGGCGGCCTCCCCGATCCCTTTGATCTTCCTTCTAAGGGTTCCGGACCCCGGGGAGAACTTGCAACTATTTGCCCAAGAAGGAAGGTCCTTTGCAAGCTGAGAGAGTTTGCAAAGTGTAATTTTCCACTCTCCAGATTTTTTTATTATTATTATTATTCCACAATAAGCACCGAATCCTCCAGCCTCTACGGGCAATCTTCCAGAAATGGTGACCTCCAACTCCCATCATTCTCCCCCTGGGGGAGGGGGCGGGAGTGATGGGCTTAGCCATCTCCTCTGCTGGCTGCCCAGCTGGAGAAAGAGGCTCCAGGGCTTCTCCATGGATGCCTAGGCTGGACCCTATGTCCATGGGTGGGCAGGAGCCTGCGGAGCAGTGGAGCAGCTCCTTAGGTTCGCAGAGATCCCCCTTCAAAGATCTCCTGACACAACTGAGGCCCAGAGTTCTGGGGGGATCAGTGGGCTGGCTCCCGGTTGGCATGGGCAGCGTGGAAAGATATGGGCTTCATTGAGGTAAGATGTTCTCCTGCTTTCTTATCGGGGACAGTTGGAAGTGAGAAACACTAGACTTCTTCGGACAGCTGAACCACAATTCCCAGGGACCTCACCATTGACCGTTCTGGCCGAGGCTGCTGGGACTTGTAGTCCAACAAGTTCTGAAGGCTCCTGTACTCTTCACTTGATTGGTTGACTATGCACCATCAAATCAGTGTCGATTCTTAGCGGCCCCATAGACAGGTTTTCTCCAGGATGAACTTACTGTATTTTGCATATATTTGTTGCGTTGCAGGTTCAGTCCTAGCATCCTCATGTCATTGAAAAGGTAGTTTCCAGAGGATACTGATTTTTTATTACTGAATATTACCCATCAAAGAAACTTTGGGAATCTTTTGCCCCGTTTCGTGGGCTTTTGTCCAATGAGAAATGGATGTGTCAGTCTGAGATAATATCTCAGCGGCTGAGAAGGGTGGCATATTTTGTAAACACTCTAAGGCAACGTGTCAATAACAGTGTGGTCTCTTTTGTGTGTTCAGCTGAGTGGGGCCATTTGCAGGCTTTGTGCAACAGCACGCTCTTTCCACACATTCCCTCTAGTTTGTAGTGGCTTAAAGAGAGCAAACATTGGGAAGGCATTGAGAGGACATACTGTATTTGGCGTGGGAACCTTTGGATGGTGAAGAAATGTCAGAAATTTTGAAATGTTTGTTATTTAGCAGCTAGTTCTTCTGGTTTGGCAGGCACTTTTGCTTAAAAGATGCACCTTGTGCAAAGCAAGAGCGTAGGAAGCTGCCTCTTATAGTCAGTAGCCTAACACAGTGTTTGTCAGCCACAGCAATTTTAAGATGAGTGGACTTCAACTCCCAGAATCCCCCACCCAGCAATTCTGGGAGTTGAGGTCCACTCATCTTAAAGTTGCTGAGGTTGACAAACACTGGCCTTATATCACCACAGTTCGCTTTCTTACAATTACTGAGAAGCAGCGCAGAGAGTCCTCGACTTACTCAAAGTTACAATGGCACTGAAAAAAGTGACTTTTGACCCTTTTTCACACTTGCATCATCACGTGATCAAAATTCTGAAGATTGGCAACTGGCGTGTACTGTATTTATGGCAGTTGCAGTGTCCCAGGGCCACGTGACCCCCTCTTGTAACCTGAGAAGCAAAGTTTTCCTTTCCTTTCCCCTCTGCCTTTTGTGAATGGCCCAGACCTGCCTCCCAGCTGGCGCACTTAACCAAGTGTTTGGGTTGAGGCTGGCTTGCATTGTGCAAAGGACAAACAACATTTGCATGTCCTTTGTAAGGCTCATTTCATTGCAGTTGTAGGGCTGGAGATGGGGGGGGGGTTGAGGGGGGAAGAAGAGAAGAACAGCCGTGATCATGAATGAAGCAGATAACCCAAAGCCAAACAGTTTCAAGCTTGTGCTTTTTTTAGCAACAAACTAGCTCGTTCCCTATTGTGCCCATCTGTTCCGGGATGCTGATGGTTATCCTGGCGCCTGTTGCGTGGACAGCGTCCCGTCTACAATGGCCATTTGCACCCTGTTCCTAAACGCCACATCTTTTTAATAAGAAAACAAAGAGAAAGTGGATATTTTTGCAGCCCTGCGAGGAACATCTGGCTTGGGGTTTGAAGTCACTTCTGGCGAGATGGGAGACTGCATAAATTTGAGGAATAAACGATGCTTCTAAGTCCCCCCCCCTTTTTTTTTATAGAAGAAAGATTGCATTTTTTTTAAGGATGGGTTTTATTTCTCCGGGTTTTCAAAAGAGAAGCAAATATGCTCATTTTGTTTTTCTCTCTGGCAGGCTTTGGATCTGTGCTTGTTAAAGAGCGGGGTCAGCCCTCTTAGCCACAACAGCTTCTTTTAAAACTACTTACCTTTCTATTCTATTCTGTAGAATCTTTCTGTCTCACATAGTCTAGTCGTGTTTCTTAACTTTAGTCATTTTAAGATGGGTGGACTTCAGCTCCCAGATTGGCAAAAGGCATAAATGCTGCTTTAATTTCTTTCCTTTCTATAATGCCTGGTCTGGGTTGACTAGCACTAAAGTGAGCTTTTGAGCCCTTATGTAATTCTTCTACTTTGGTCTGCAGGGTCAAGTCCAAAGCCTGTAGATTTAACAACCATTTGTTTAATGACTGAAGTTACAACGGCACTGAAAAAAAGTGACTGTTTTCCACACAATCGTTTTAGCAGCCCCACGATCAAAATTCAGACACTTGGCAACTGGCCTGCATTTATGACGGTCGCAGTGTCCCGGGGTCACGTGGTCACCTTTGGGGACTATCTGAGAAGCAAAGTCAAGGGGGAAGCCACTTAACAACCATGTTACTAGCAATTGCAGTGATCTCCTTAACCTCTGTGGCAAGACAGGTCATAAAATGGAGCAAAACTCATTGGACATCAGTCTTGCTTAGCAGTGGGAATTTGGGCTCAATTGCGGTTGTAAATCAAGGACTGCCTACATCTGGGAACCGAGCTTTGCGGAGGGGAACCTGCTTGGGAAAATGCAGGCAATGTGAGAGCCTTGGAATTGTGGGGTGCACACATTCTGTGCCCCAATGAAAGGTCCCCACCCCTTGTTTCCTTTCAGAGTGGGAGCCCGCTATCCGGATTGGCGTGCTGGATTGCGGAGATGAGAAGAACTACGAGCAGTGCAAAGAGTATGGGATTCAGTATTATCCAACTTTCAGGGTGAGCACCTCCCAGCATCCTGAAGAGGGTTGTCCTTTGATTTGGCTCCAGGTGGTGTGAAAGGTGTGGGGAAGGATTTCCCGTGGAAATTTTAATCCAGAACTGGGGTGCTCCTTTGCTCCTCACATCTGAGTTGCTCTGCACTTCTTTGTTGGCTTCTGTCTTTTTTGGGGGGTGGGGGGTCAGAGCTATTAAGCGGAGTCCAGGTCGGTGTTTGTGGCCGTTTCGTTTCAGCTGGCAAAACCTGTCGGTCCTTTGCAGTTTTCTTTGTACTGGGTGGCCCCTTTCATTGCAGGGACCGGCCACTTTTCCCACCTGCGTTTGTGCAGCATGCCAGGGACTGCCCCTCCTGTAGTTTTAAAACATGTGGTTGATTAATAATAAATATATTTAGAGTCGGAGCGTTCTGCATTCAGGGATTTATTAGTTTGGGTTGTTCTAAGCAGAACCGTTTCTTTTCTCCCTCCCCTCCCTTCCAGTATTTCAAAGCTTTCACCAAGCAGTTTACAGTTGGAGAAAATCATCACGGTAAGTTGACCTGTGGGTGCCCTTTCTGGTTCAAGATCCATCCCTCCCAACGACTCCAGTGTCTTCCTCCTGGTGTCTTCCTCCGGGAGGGATAAGCAAGGAGCTTTGCCAGATGCCCAGAGAGGCTCAGTTTTGGGACACGGGCCCATCTTCTCTTTCCTCAGCAACCTCAGATCGGGACCTTCAGACCGTCCGCCAAACAATGATTGATTTTCTGCAGAACCACTCCCGGGAAGCGAAGCCAGCCGCGTGCCCCAATCTGGAGCCAACTCTGTGAGTCCCTTCCTTGCCTGCCTCCCAGGACCGCCTGCTGAAAAAAAGGGTCTCAGGGGAGGCTTTGTTTGTGCCAATAAAGGAGAATGAGGGGTCCTGGGTGCTCTCGGCATCATGGAAAACCAAAGCAGGGCCACCACAAAGGCAGCAGCGTGTCACGGCGTCCTCAGAAAGTCAGATAACAAGATTTGTTGTTTATTTGTTTATTACAGCTATTTATTTCCTGCTTCTCAAGATGATGATTCTCAAAAGCTGTATAAACAATTATAAGATTTTAATTTTTCTTAATTCTTAATTAATCATTCTTAATTATTCTTAACAGGCCAGAAGAAGTATTTTCCCTTTTCAGAAAACACAGTCAGCATTATACTGCCATTATTTTTGAAAACGGGAGCTCCTATCTCGGCCGAGAGGTAATGTAACCAGTAAAGGTAACGTCCCAGTCCTTTAGATGTAAGGGTGGCTTACATCTCATCTACCCCTGATTGGAATCAACCCTCATCAACCCTTCCAGCTTTGTATGCTTGGAAGAAAGACAAAATAATTTGTTTTATGGCCAACTTCATTCATACTCCAAAGAAGAATACAAAATACCAGAGTTGGAAGGGACCTTGAAGGTCTTCTAGTCCAGCTCCCTGCTCAAGCAGGAGACCCCGTACCAGGGTGTCCAACTTTGGCCACTTGAAGACTTGTGGACTTCAACTCCCATGCTGGTAGGGAAATTCTGGTAGTTGAAGTTCACTTTGCCTCTGTTTGCAGTCCTAACTAAACGCACAGCAGCCCTGGTAACTCGGTATGTTTTCTCCTCCAGGTGATCTTGGACCTGGGTCAGTATGAAAATCTTGCTGTCAGACGGGTTCTAAATTCTGAGACAGATTTACTTAAAAACCTTGGTGTTACTTCGGTCCCTTCATTGTACCTGATTTATCCCAATGGATCTCGTGGATTAATTAACAAGTAAGTCTTGATGAATGTGAGTCTGTAGGACCTGCCTTTCCGAGACCTTCAAGTCATGTTTCTCAACCTTGGCCACTTTCAGATCGGTGGACTTCAACTCCCAGAATGCCGGCTGGAGAATTCTGGGAATTGAAATCCGCCCATCTTAAAGTGGCCACGGTTGAGAAACACGATATGAAAGTTAAGTGAATCCTGCAGTTGTTCAGTTAGCAACCCAGCAACTACAAATAAGTTGTCCACGTCTTCTTAAACCACCTTAATAAAGGGAGTCCTCGACTTATGACAACTGCCACAGTTCTTAAGTGAATCACCGCAGTTGATAAGTTACTAACCCGGTTGCGAAGTGGATCCGGCTTCCCCATTGACCTCTTTTGTCAGAAGGTCGCAAAAGAGGACCCTCCCCCCAGGACTCTGCGAGGCTCATAAATATGAACCAGTTGCCAAGCGTGCAAAATTGGATCACGCGACCGTGGGGAGGCTGCAACGGTGCCGCTGTAATTTCAAATGGTTGTAAGGCGAGGACTGCCCGTGTGGCATTTATTGGGGGCTGAAAGGGGCATTTCAGGCAAGCAGCCAGCAGCAGCTGAATTTCTGTAGCGACTCGCCTGTTGAGCTTGAGGGTGTTTTTAACTTTTATACTGTCCTTCCATACACAGTTTGAAGCCTCTCCGGTCTTTCTTTTCTTCCCATTTAAAGTCACTCCCGGGAGTTAGAAGGAAACTCGCTTCTCCACTCCCTCTTCTCCAGCCAAAGAGACCAGGAAACACGGACATGAAGGAATGGAAAGAGTCTGACCCGTAAGCAGGACCCCAGTTCTCTTTAAAGAGCTTTTTCCCCCCCCCAATGTTGGCTTTTCTCCTGCTCCTGAATGGGTGGTTCCGGTGGATGATGGTTTTAAGTTATCTGGGCCGCCTGTTGGGGGTGCAAGTGGACCTCCCCAGAGCTTTTATCGTATTCCAAAGGCTGCACTTCAAACATGGGCAGGACTAGTTGGACACTTTTGGTGGGTTTCAAAAGAGTGCCATAAATTTCTCTAAGGCCTGAAATATAAATGTGCCAATTCTGAATCCTGCAAAAGAAGTGCTACTAGGCTGCAAATTTACCTCTAAATAAAATAAATAACAGAATAGCAGAGTTGGAAGAGACCTTAGAGGTCTTCTAGTCCAGCCCCCTGCTCAAGCAGGAGACCCTATGCCTTTCAGACAAATGGCTGCCCAGTCTCTTCTTGAAAGCCTCCAGTGATGGAGCACCCACAACTTCTGGAGGGAAGCCGTTCCGTTGATTAATTGTTCTCATTCCCAGGAAATCGCTCCTTATTTCTAGGTTGCTTCTCTCCTTGATTAGTTTTCCTCCATTGCTTCTGGTCCTGCCTTCAGGAGCTCTGGAGAATAGCTTGACTTCCTACTTCATTATTATTATTGATACTTATCTTTGCTAAACAAAAAAAAAAATCTGAGTTCCAATCCACTGAGGATGAACCAAAGGGGAAAACTGAGAACAGTAGCCTAATAATAGAAGTTTCTAAAGATAAATTTCATGTATTCCTACCTTCCTCACTTGTGCAGGCAAAATAAACCCGCCACATTTTAAAGTATCTGGGTCTCTCTGTTTTTCAGGTCCAAATTATATATGGCTGACCTTGAATCTGGGCTGCATTATTTGTTCAGGATAGAAATGGCCACCCACAAAACCTTGGAAGGGGCTGCGCTGAGGGCCTTGAAAGATGTCGTTATAGTCCTAGCCAAGGTAAACATTTTCAGTCTTTTCATTGCGTTTGCCGTGTGCGGTAAATCACGCTGGGCAGGAACTCTCCTTGCCTAACTGGATGAACCTTTGATGCATTTATGGGGAAGGAGCAGACGGGATTCCTGCTTGAGCCCGTTCGGAAAGGCCAAATTAGAATCAGGATTTCCACGGCTGCCTTTCTGCGTCCATTTTTACAGCCCTTTGAGAACTAAGTCTGTGCCAAGGAGATTTGTAGGATCCAATTCGGTCACCAGGACCAGAGTTTAGTCTTCCGAGCTTTTGGACTTGTGCTGGAGCCCATCCCCAGGGGACGTCTAGCAGAGTGTGTGCTTTGGGCTATACTGTGTGTGGTGTCACAACCAGGCATCTCCTGCCATTTGGTCATCTGCTCTCCTTGGTGTCCTCCGCAGCTGATCCCTTTGAGACAGAATAGCTGAACTTCAGTTTCTTCAGCTGACCTTAGTTTCAGCTTTTGCTACCTGGTAATTTCATGAAGCCTGGCTGGGTTGCCTTTTAGTTGTTTTCCCCACCGGCCCCCCTGGCAGCTTCAGGGGAAGGGAAGAAAGTTTTGAGAACAGCCCTTGCAAATGTGCCGTTAACCTGGTCTTTCGTTCAGCTCTTTCCTGGCCGTCAGCCTGTGATGAAGTCGCTGGAGACGTTACAGGTGTGGCTGCTGAGCCTCCCGTTGGACCGGATCCCCTACGATGCCGTCCTGGACCTGCTCAACAATAAAATGCATGTAAGCTACGACTAGTTTTTAGTTGGGGGCGCAGAAGGGGAAGGGGAAGAAGAGGAGGAGGAGCTGTACTACAATAGATTTCTGCGTGAAAGTGGGTCCTCATGCCGCCCTTTCCCCCTTTCTAGATCTCGGGCCTGTTCCTGCCCAGCCGGCTCCAGTGGGTCGGGTGTCAGGGCAGCCAGGTGGGACTGAGAGGTTACACCTGTTCCTTCTGGAAGATCTTCCACTCATTAACAGTTCAAGCAGCAGCCCAGCCCAGAGCCTTGCTCAACACCGGTAAGAAAGGGGTGGGGGAACGCCTCCGCGGGCGAAGAGGGGCTGGCAGGGAGGGGAACTTAAATGGCACTACAGCTGCTTTAATATGGGTTGAGCAAACGACTCAGCCTTTGCCAGGGGAGAGACGATAGCCGTCTTCCAATACCTGAGGGGCTGTCCCAGACAAGAGGGGCTCAGCCTGTCTTCCAAACGCCTGAAGGCTGGACAAGAAGTAACAGATGGAAGCTCATCAACCAGCAATCCAAGCTAGAATCAAGAAGAAATTTCCTGACGGAACAAAACCAGCGGAACAGCTTGTACATAGATAGACGTAGCTTAAAAAGTCCAATTCCTTTATATTTTGCAAATATTATGGATTCTCCTCCTCAGAAAGTCTATGAGTAATATCTGGGAAATCCAGAGGCTGTGCTGAGTCTGTTAATTTTGAGGCTGTTAGCCCTGAAATATCGTCCTGCTTTGAAAACGTGTTTCCTGCTCTGTGACCACAACCAACATCCGCATACAAAGGAAAGCACGTGGGTTTGTGGCTTTCAAAACGAAAGAGTGTCTCCGTTAATATCCCGGTGCAAGAAGCCTCCCCAGCAGTGAGCTGCAGCTGGAACATAGTTTGAATTGGGTCATTCTTACCCAGATTTTCTCCTTTGGGAGCAGGTTGGAAGTTTCAACCCGTTTTTAAAGCTCAGTGTGTTCATTTCCACCAGCCTGGTTGTGTTGCGACCGTTTCTTGTGAGGGGAGAATTGGGTCAGGCTGAAGCAGCAGGATTAGGTCTTCGAGGGTTTCCTCTTCTTATTGCTTGCTTTAATTCCCATCTCCTAGAGGGCCCCTAATCCTCCCAGCCACAGGTGGAGTTTTACGGTTCGTGCCCATTTTAAAGATTAGAGTGATCCAGAATTGAGGCAGTTTTGCCGGGAAAGAGGAAGGAAGGATTAGGTCAAGAGACATGACATCTGTTTGCAAGATGCAGGGGGCTAATAAACGAAGCACACGCAATCTCCGCGTTAGAGTCTCCTTCCGTATAATTATTGAGAATTCAGGGGAAGGGTTCTGCCCAGAAAGTTTGGAATGGATGCTCTGTTCCCCAGAGGGACTTTACCCCGTTGGCCTTAAGATCCCAGATCCAGGAAGATCAGCGATGTGTCCCATGAACAAGCAGGTGGATCAGAAGGGAAAATTGAACCAGAAACCAGCTCCACCCTGGCTCAGAGTTACTTCCCCTGTCTCTTCCCGGCTCTTGGCAGAGAAAAGAAGAATATAGAATAATATTCAAGTGTTTATTGATGGCTGCCCAACTCAGCAGTCACAATGCTGGGCAGCTAAGGTTAGACTAAAAATAACAGGCAGTCCTCGACTTATGACCAAAATTTGCATTGCTAAACGAGACGCTTGTTAAACAGGTTTTGCCCCATTTTACAACCTTTCTTGCCACCGTTGTTAAGTGAATCACTGCACCTGTTAGTCACACGGTTGCTAACTGAATCCAGCTTCCCTATTGGCTTCGCTTGTCAGAAGGTCGTAAAAGGGGACCATGTGACCCCGGGACACTGGAACCGTCATAAATATGAACCACTTGCCAAGCATCAATTTTAATCCCACAACCACGGGGCAGGCTGCAGTGGTCGTGTGAAAAATGGTCATAAGTCACTTTTTTCAATGCTGTTGTGATTGAACGGATGTTTTTAAGTCGAGGACTGCCTGTCAGCCCAAAGTAACAACCCGGAAGGGAGAAACACTTGGGCTAAATGCAGCCTATCCAAAGTCGGATGCAGTTTCTCCAAAAGAGGAAGTAAAAGGTTCCGGTTCTTTGGCTTGGAGCCGGCTGAGAGGTGGCCCGGCGCTCTTCTTGTGCCCCGCCAGGGAAGCCCTCCGCAGACCCTCCGCTGACGGGACGGGTCGGTCGTTGCTCCCTTGCAGGTTTTGAGGACGATCCCCGGGTGGTTCTCCAGGTCATGCAGAGATACGTCCAGGATTTCTTTGGCTGCCGAGCCTGCGCAGATCACTTCACGGAGATGGCCGGAGCGTCTCTGGGTTCGGTGAAGAGCTGGGACGAAGCTGTGCTGTGGCTCTGGGAGACGCACAATGTGGTGAACGCCCGGCTGGCAGGTAGTTTTCAAGGGACAGCTTGGCGCTTTTAAGGGCTTCTTCCTGCGTTGGTAACTGGTTGCTTTTTTTTGGTCAATAAGTTTGATAAATAAATAAAAAGTCAGTTGATCAATGTGGGCTCCTAAACTAACGCACCCCCTGATGTTTCCTGTCTCTCCCTCCTCTTCTTCCAACAGGGGACTTGAGCGAAGACCCCCAGTTCCCCAAAGTGCAGTGGCCCCCCCGGGCCCTTTGCCCCGCGTGCCACAAGGCGACCCAAGGCCCCCCTGCCTGGGACAAGACGCAGGTGCTCCAGTTCCTGAAACAGCATTACGGCAGCCACAACCTCGTCCACACCTACCTGGAGGAAGCCGACAACGCCGACGAACGAGAGCGCCAAGGTGGAGGAGAGGCGTTTCCGAAGGAAGCTGCTAGGGAGGGCAACAAGGGCCACCTTCCGCAGAAGCCCTTGGGCTCAGAGTCCAAAGGGCCGGACCATGGGATCGCCAAGGAGGACTCCATAGTCGATCCGGGGAAAAGGCCGGCTGGCGCAGTGGCCGAGCAGGAGAGGAAGCAGGCGGTGTCGTTCTTGGGAGTCGGCTTCTCCAACATCGACATGAGCCTCTGCATCGTCCTCTACGTAATGTCGTCTTTATTCTTAATGATCATGTTCTTTTTCTTCCACGTGAGATCCAAGCACTGGAAAGTGAGACACAACCGCCCCTACGTATAGCGGATCCTTTGGAAATCAACTTTCTGTCTGGAAATGGCTCTCTTCTGCTCGCCTACAACTCGGCTAGCAGGGAATCAGGGATTTTTTCTTTTTCTTTTTTACAGTGCAACGTTTTCGTTTTCAAGCGACCGTGCCATTGTTCCTCATCCTCATTCACTGGTGTTCTGCTTCTCTACCGGTGGACACACTGAATTTGGAACGGTGTACAAAAAGGTGTTTTTCTGAAGAACATTAAAACGGTTCTGGTGATCTTCCTTGGGTTACCTAGTGTGCAGTGGTTTATGAAACGGTTCAAGAAAATCAGGGTGCTAGGAGGGTGTTAAACAGGTGCTTATGTAAAAAGAAGGAGATTCAAAATTTACATGCCAACTGTAAAATATAATCCAGCCAGTGTCTTAAACTTTAAAAGAATTGATTTTGACAAACTCAAGAGACAGCCTAAGGAAAATTCCACGGATAAAAATCCTAAAGGGGAAAACAACTCAAGAAGCATGGGAAACTCTGAAAAATATGATCATAAAAGCCCAATCCGGCACAATATACCATTGAAAAAGAAAAACAAGAAATCCGAGAAGAAACCAGCGTGGTTGCATAAAGATCTCTCTGATAAATTGAAAGGCAAAAAGGACAAATACAAAAAATGGAAAGAGGGGACACATAACTAAGGCAGAGTATCAGCAGATGGCTCGAATCCGAAGTCTAATACAATCCTTGGCATAGAGGTATAGAATCAAAATCACGTGAAGTATTAGGATCACTTTATAAATTCCCTAGTAAGGCCACACCTGGAATACTGCATCCAGTTTTGGCCACCACGTTACAGAAGAGGTGTGGAGACTTTGGAAAAGGTGCAAAGAAGAGCAACTAAGATGATGAAGGGCCTGGAGACAAAAACATGAAGAACATTTGCAGGAATTGGGTATGTCTGCTCTAGTGAAAAGAAGGACCAGGGGTCACATGATAGCAGTGTTCCAGTATTTGAGGGGCTGCCACAGAGAAGAAGGGGTCAATTTATTTTCCAAAGCAGCTGAAGGCAGGATAAGAAACAATGGATGGAAATTAATCAAGGAGACAAGCCAGCTGGAACTAAGGAGAAATTTCCTGACAGTGAGAACGATCAGTGGAACAGCCTGGCTCCAGAAGTTGTAGGTGCTTCATCACTGGAGGTTTTCAAGAAGAGACTGGACAGCCACTGAAATGGTGTAGAGTTTCTTGTTTGAGCAGGAGGTTGGACTAGAAGACCTCCAAGGTCCCTTCCAGCTCTATTCTGATTGACTAGATAGAGACAAAGATTAGAAAAAGCAAGTTCCGGGATGCTTAGAACATCAAATAATAGGATTGGAAGGGACTTTGGAAGTCTTCTAGTCCAACCCTCTGATTTTGCCTCGGGGGCTTCTGTCTGCACCCAGCACCCCAGTTCTGGATGGTGAAGGGAGCAGGCCAAATGCTGACCCTGGATGAAGGGGGTCAAAGGGAGGAAGCCCCCAGGAGGGGGATTGCAGGAGTCTTCAGCTGCCTTCTGGCTTGCGATTGGAAGGACCAGGTCAGGGGGGGCTCCACAGGGCCGGGCATGGAGGTCATGACCCATGGCCTCATCCTGCAGCTTCCAGGGCAGGTGGGGAGCTCTTTCAACATTGCCCCCCACTGGAAACCCAGGAAGGAACCCAAAGGAATAAAGAACGTGGGTGAGGTCTCCTCCCCCTAAACAGGCCGAAATCCAGATGGCGAGCCGCTGCATCCCAAGTGGGAGGCTGTCAGGTTTGCTCCAATCGGTGGCTTCCTTTACTTGCTTCCTCACCTTGGACCAAGCACGCAACAGTTTGGGAATCTGAGCATCTGTGGATTTTCAAAATATTAAATTCACCTCTGAATCCCTCCCTCCCTCCTTTCCTTCCTTCCCTCTTTTCCTTCCATCTTTGTGCCCTCCCCTCTCCTCCTCCCCTCCTCTTTTCTCCTTTTTTAAAAGATTCGTTTTCAAGATTTGCCAATAAAGCGTTCTGAATCTCTGCGTCTCTTCTGTGAGTTTTCTTGTCCCTTCGGTTTGCCTTTTCTGGGTGATCCCGAGGGACTCCATCACTGGAGGCTTCCGAAAAGAGACTGGACAGCCATTTGTCCAGAATGGTGTACAGTCTCCTGCTTGAACGGGGTTGGACTAGAAGACCTCCGAGGTCCTTCCAACTCTGTCATTCTTTATTCCTTTTGTGTCTGCGTTGGCCTAATGGGGTTAATCTGTGAAATGCAAGCTCCATCTCGGCAAAGTTACTCGAGGACTTTCTTGATGGCTTCAGGAGTTGCACCAACGCAACCTCTTTGCTCAACCAGAGTGGGCTGCCCTGTGCCAAGCGGAACAGGCGCACTGTGCAAACGAACCCTTCGTGGAGGGGGGGAAGAGACCTTGCCTGGTGCGGTACTGGATAACGGGGCGCCTCTTCAGCACCGCGGACAGCTCCCCCCCCCCCGACGCGTTGCCCCCTCGGCCTTTGTTTTGCTCAGAGAGCCGGGCGGGGCCACAGGAGGAGGGGGAGGAGCGACGAGGGAGGGGGGCCTCTGCGCGGTTCAAGTGACGCCGGGCAGGTGGTAGGGGGGAAACCCCGCGCCCCCCGCGGCCACTCCCCCTCCAACCCCTCGCCAGCCCCCCGACCTGCTCTCCTGCATTCCGCTTGGAGGCTCCCGGAGCTGCCAGCCGCCGTCCCTCGGGCCAAGGCCGGGGGTCTCTGTTCCGGCGTCCGACCCCGGCCGGGCGGCTCAGCGCCATGCTGCTGGAGCGCGCCCGCGGGGAGAAAGCGGCCCCCGCCGAGCCCTGCGCCTTCGGCCGGAGCCCAGGTAAGCCGGCCCCGACGGGCGCCGCCGCCCGCTGGCCTCCCCCGACACACGCCGAGGGGACGACGGGCTCCTGTCCCCGGCTGGCCCGCGGGGCAGATCCTCCTTCAGGGGGAAGTCGCCCGTTCTGCGCCCCCGCCCTCTTTAAAATGAGGAAGGACTCTCCAGCTTTTGCCCAGCGCTCTTGAATCGGACGGTAGTTCTGGTTTGCGCATCCTTATTCTTCGTTTGCGCTGACGGTTTCCCCTCATCTTTTACCTCCTGGTCGCTTTTATTATTCTTAGCCTTCCTTCCTTCCTTCCCTCCCTCCCTCCCTCCCTTTCTATCTGTCTCTCTCTTCTTTTTCTTGGCACAAGTCTTTCATGGGGGAAGGGGTCGATTCAAGGAATCCGGGTTCAACTTATGTGTACCCTGTGCTTAATAGGAAATCTTCCTACTCAATTTCCTCACTTTCCCCGCATCGTAACAGATGCTCCTTGGGCTGGGTCCTCTTCACCCAGTGGGAAAACCCAACCCAGTGGGCGAGGGGGCCACCTTATTTGGGGGATGGAGGGGAGGAAAGAGAAGGAAAAGGGCCAGGCCTCCGCTGGGGAGAGGAGAGGCTGCCCCCACTCCGGCTCACCCGAAGTCGTTAGGACGCGCCTGGCTTGGCGGGGCTGAACAGCTGCCAGGCGCGTCTCTTCGCAGCCCAGGGAGCTCCCAGAGTGGGGGCTCTTCCGGCCAGGGAAAGCGCCCTCCCACCACCGGTCCCGCTTGCACTTTCTGCCGGAGCCCCTCCAGGGCAGCGGGTCAGCCGCGGTCCGGGCCCCAAGCGCTGCTGAAGGCCAGCTCGGGACCCAGAAGCCCCCTACGCGTTTGGGGGTCTTTTCAGAGCCGGGCGAGCCGCTTCTGGCTCTCCGCGGCTCGAGAGAGGCTGGAGCGAGGGGAAGGGGGAACTCCCGGCCCGCCTCCAGGGCGTCCGTTGCCCGGCCTGCAGCTGGAGAAGCCACAAGTGAGCGGGGTCCGCTTCGGGAGGGTCGCTTGGCCCCACCGGCTGCTTCTCGGGTCCCTTCCTGGAGCGCCCGAGGGGCAGAAAGGCGGGTTTCTGAATCTCGCTGGGAAATAGGCGCGTCTGGATCTCCCGCCGCCCCTACAGACTCCGGCAAAGGTTGGGGGGCGGCTGGGGGGGTCAGGCTCTCTTCGGCAGCCTGGCCTCGCGGATCTCTCTGACCTTTTGGGCTCGCCATGGCGACCCGGCGGTTTCCAGGAGCTGCTGACGTCCAAGCAACCCGATCGCGGCGGTTCGGCTTACCTGTCGGAAGCCAGAGACCCTTTGCCATCTGGGGCGCTCAGGCGGGGCCCCGTGAAAACCGAACGTGGGAATGGGTGGCAGCTTTTCGTTTTCTCAAAACGGGCAGCAGCGCGTCCAAGACCTTGGAAAATATAAGGGGGGGAATAATTGATTTTGAAACGGTAAGCAGGGACGAACCTGGTTAATTTTTGGCAGGAAGATTACCAGAATGTCTCAGGAAATGCCGGACCACGTTCCCAGACTTTTGAGTTTACAGACCCTGATATGGGAAGCCTCCTCTCGCCCCGTCCGTCCGTCGATGCTCCCTCTTCTTAGATGGGAGATTCGATAAATGTCGCACATTCGCGCACAATATTTAACCAGAAAGCGTTTCGAAGTTTTGGATTCTCTTGGAAAAGGATTTCTGCCGCTTAATATCAGAACCGACTCTCCGAAGGCCTTTTGACTGGCTTCCAAATAACCGGTTTATAGGTTAGAAAGTGACTGTGTTCCCTTTTGCACTGGTGGAAGAAGGGAGAGAAGGAGAAAGAAAGGAGAGGGAGAGAAGGGAGGGAGGGAGGGAGGAAAGAGAGAGGGAAGAGAGAGAAGGAAGGAGAGAGAAGAAAAAGTAAGGAAGGAAAGAAAGAGAAGGAAGAAAGAGAGAGAAGGAAGGAAGGGAAGAGAAAGGGATGGAAGGAAGGAAGGGAAAGAGAAGGGAAGGGAAAAGGAAAGAGAAGGAGAAAAGAGAGAAGGGAAGGTGGAGGAAGAGAGGAAGAAAGGAGAGGAGAGAAAGGAGGGGAAAGGATGGAGGAGGAAAGGAGAGGAACAAGGAAAGGATAGGGAAAGAAAAAGGGAGGGAGGTAAGGAAAGAAGGGAGGGTGGGAAGGAGAGAGGTGAAGGAGAGGAAGGAGGGAAGGAAGTGAGAAAGCAGGGAGGAAGGAAAGGAGAGAAAGAAAGGATGAAGGGAGGAAAGAAGGAGGAAAGGGAAAGGGAAAAAACGGGAGGGAGAGAGGAGAGAAAGGATTAGTAGCAAACGAGGCTTATTGCACTTTGAAGATTAACAAATCAGTTCAGAAAGAAGCTTATCGGGACCAGAACTTCCTTTCCTTTGATTAAGAAAAAAGGAGATAAATCGTCCTGCAGGTTTCAGACTTGGAGGAAGTGAAGAATATGTTTTAATTTAGAAAGAACGGCTCTTCCGCCTTTTGCGGAATAGTTGCCGATAATTCCTCTAAGGATCCGGATCCGATCCGGTCCTTTTTTCCTCAAATCCCACAATCGGATTCCGCGTGGCTGGTGGGATTGCTGTTGATTTCTCTCCCCTCCCCCATTTCCCCTCAAAAAAATTGGAATCCTTTCACAAGGAAAAGGTCCCCAACAGGCACAGATCATTCATATTATGTCGGTCAGAGCATTCAGGAACGTTTTAGCTGATTAAGTCACTTTCCCTTTCCCTATTAGTAAATTAAATCAGAATAAATTTGCATATCTCCACAACCTCAGCAGAAAACGCCTTCTTGGGACAAATTTAACCAGGCAAAAATCCTCCTTCGGGGGCTTCCTATCACCTCCCAAGAAGCTTCTTCGACTCCCAAAGAGCATAAATTTCCTTTGGTTTTTGCCTTCTGCGCTTTCTGCATTGGCTCCTGTTCCCAAGTCACACAAGACACGAGGCTGACTCTGAGCCGTTTCAGCAAAACTTCACAGATGAATAAAGGGAGGGAACGTGGATCAAAGTCAAACTATATTGCCCTAAGGTCTCCTCCTTCCTGGCCTCCTCTTCCGCACCTCTTCTTCTCTCTGTCTGGGGAGGCAGAGGTGTCCAGGAATCTGGAATTGGATCCCGGCCGCAAACAGAGGGGTGGGCTGGATGACCTCGCTGGCTCCTTCCAGGCTAGGATTCTTTCCGTCTCTCTTATGCCTCATTTAACCCTCTCGCCCATCCTGTGAAGAAGACTATAAGCGAAGGGGGTATTTATCCCCCCCCCTTTCCTCCCATCTCCCCCCCCCCCCCCCCGCTTGCTCTTACATCCGATCAGCCTTGGCAGTTGTTGGTGGGTCCAAAAGGACTCACTCTTCTCCTTGGCCCACGTGGCAAGGAGTCCCCCTGGAAGGCCTCCATCCCTGCTGCTCCCCCCTGTCTAATGTCCTCCCTTCCGCGATGGGGGGGGGGAGAACGAGTGACTCCACCCCCGCCTCCCCCCTTGGGGTAGACTCGACGGGCTCCCCCGCCCCGTCGCTGCCGGCCGGCCGCTGTCCGTGGTGCTGACGGAGCGCCGCTGCCCAGGACCCGGGAGACGCTGGCTCTGTCTTTAAAGGGGAGGTTTCTGCGGAGGTTTTCTCCGCCCCCCCCCGCGTCGTCCATCCCCCCCCCCGATCTTCAGTGCCCGGCTGGTCGAGTTTCCCAAGAACGGGAGGCGAGCAAGATGGACGCGGGGAAGGAGGTGCGGCGGCGGCGGGGGGGCGCTGGCCGGGAGCCCCCCAGCAGCACCGAGACGCTCCTGGCGCTGTTGGCGCGGAACCAGGAAGGCCGGACAGGTAACAGGGAGGGGGGGCAGAAGGGCCACTAGGGGAGAGGGAGAGCCTGATGGTTCTCAGTCATCCTGCCCAGGTATTTTGCCCCTGGACCCTTTTTCCCCTCCCCCAGACCCGGCATCCTCGCCGAGTTCCAAGCAAAAATCCCGTTGGGGGCAACGGGAGCACCGGGGGCTGCGGGGTTCTCCGTATCCACCCTCCACTTCAGGACAGGACACCCCCAAATGAGCAAGGGTTCTGCAGCCCTCCCTGGGGGAGGGGCATAGAAGAGGAGGGCTGAAATTGGGGAAGGGTAAGACACCCCCTCTTCTAAGCCTCTTGCCTGCCCGCGGGAGGAGCAGCACAGGGGCCCTGAAGGAGATTTTCCCCCCCCCGCCGCCGCCGCTGCTCGGTCGTCGTTTATTTTGGGGTGGGGGGGGGAGATGATTCCGAACGATGGATAAGATAATGGCAGACCAACTCCGCGGCCGGGGATGCAGCAGCGTCCCCCGAGGTGTTGAGGGAGGGGGGTCTCTTCAGGTGCCAGGTGGCAGCTGAGTAACTTTTTACTGGGTGGGTGGGGAGCTGCGACCCCCCAAAATTGGGCAGCCATTTTCTCTTAGGGAGAACTGGTTGCCGCTGCTTAGAGCCAGAGAATCCTCAAAAGGAAGGAAGGAAGGAAGGAAGGAAGGAAGGAAGGAAGGAAGGAAGGAAGGAAGGAAGGAAGGAAGGAAGGGCTCCCGAGATGGAGCCTCCGCGCCCAGCCAGATGCCCTTTCTCAGCCCCGATTTTCCTCCTCCTTGGATTTCCTTCGGCTTCTTTCCTCCCCTTCGTTTCCCTCTTTCTTCCTTCCTTCCTTCTTCCGTCCATCTTGTCTTGCCTTGTCTTTCTTTGGTCTCAATTCGATTCCTTTTTCTTACGTCTTGCTTCAACTTTTGGTAATCAACCAGCCGTTCTTCCGTTTCCTCTTTTTTCTTTTCATCCTTCCTCATCCTTCTATCCTTTTTCTAGATGGTCGGAAAGAGGAAGAAAAAGAGCTGGAAATAATAATTCCTCGCCCGTTTTCTTTTCCTTCTTAGCCTGGAAACAAGTAACGGAACTTTCTTGCACTATAATTGACATTATTAAGAACTCCGGATGGGGAGAATTCTTAAGTAGGATACAACAGCAAATTTTTAAATTTAACTGCAGAGGAAGGAAAATTAGTTCCCCGTTTCCTAAAACCCGCACCAAATGAAAAAAAGGCTGCTGAAATATCCTCTCCTCAGTTCTGCTGCCCTCTCCACGGGAGTCATAGCAATTCAAACGATTTCATTTTTAAAAAGTGAATGTAGACGATCTAATTGCCCTAATGTAATTTTTCAGAAGTCGAATGAGAGTTTCCCCCCCTTTCCCCCCCAAATCCCCCCCCTTAGATAATGAAAAGTAGGGGATTAACTCTAGGGAGAGAGAATAACTCACTTCGCCGACCTTTCCCCAGAAGAGCGAAAATCCTATCACTGGGATATTATTTATGATTATTGATTTGTTATCGGTCAGATCATTTGTAAGGCGAGGAAAGCACAAGGCGCCCGTTTCAGCTTGACCGACTACCGCCTTCCCGACGAGCGCGCTACAAGTCCCATTTTGGTTGTGGATGGTGGGCTTCGCGATCCAACGCGTCGGGTGGGCGCCAGTCCAGCCCACCCCCTTTTGCTCCGTCCCGTAGCGCCTCTCGGAGCAGAACCGACAAGCGACCCAAAGCGGCTTCACCCCGTCGGGAGCCGAGAGACCCAGCCCGGCCTTCCGCGAAGCCTTCTACCTCAAAGCGGTTGGAGGTCCTGCGGGGGAAGGAGGGGCGCGCGAGAGGCTCCGGAGCCCCTTCCTTAAGTCCGAAACCTGTTCCTAATTCAGACCGACGTCTCTCTGCAGGCCTGTAGATGCCCTTTACTAACCGGCGTATAAGTTATTCTCGCCTCTCTTATGATGCTAACACGCACAACAGCCTGTAAAAACCATTGGATCCCGTAGATTTGGTTCCAGGCTGGGCTACCGTTAACATCATACAGTATAATATAATTAATGTAACACTATGATCCCAAAGTGACGTGGCACTTTCGGATATATATTTATTCGCCTATCGGATCGCTGGTGCTCGGCTGGGCTGGGTCTGTTCAATCCCATGCCAACCGGCCTCCCTCCTCGGAGCTTTTCCCTCCGGTCTGTTTCAGGCCCTTTTGCCACCGGAGTCGCCACCTTCCTCCGCCCGGCGGGGTCCCTTCCCAAGGGCAGGTGGCATCCGGCGTCGAAACCCGTTTTTATCTCGGGCGCTTGAGAGCCGTAGCGGCCCGCGGGCCGGCTTGCTCGGCTTCATTGGCGGCTGGGGTGTGTGTGTGGAGTGAAGTGTTGGGGACCCCCCCCTTTTTTTTTTTTTGAAGTCGTGTCTTGAGCTGATCGCCGCTGCGGGAGACGCGGAGCTCCGGGGAATGGCTGGGAAGAGGGCGAAAGTTGTCGGGTGCAGGAGGGGTCTCGGCTCCGACTTTAGAAGGATCCCGGCCGCCAAAAGCTGGGCCGCCTCCTTTTTCGGGCGCTGACCAGATCTTTTCTCTGTCTTGCGGGTGACCAAGAGGGTGAAGGGGAGCCGCCTAGTCTCGGCGGAGGAGGCTTCATTCCATCCTTTCCCTTTCCCTTCCCTTCCCCTTCGGTGGAGACTTCCTCCAGCCCTCCAAAGGAGACCCCAGGGGCTTAAATGCTCTTGAACCCCGCACCCATCGCGCGCCTCTCTCTTTCTTTTCCCACCTCCCTCCTGGCAACGCGGACTCCTTGCCCGGATTGGGAGGATCCGACTTTCCCCCGCGGTTCCCTGACCGAATTTATCCTCGGAGGAGGAGGAGATGCGGGCGCCTTATTTGCACCTGCCGGACCGGTCCCTCCTTTGAAGCCCCTCTCGCCGACGCCACCGCCACCATCATCACCACCATCGCTAATGCCGTCGTTGGCTGTACGGACGCTCCCAAGATCAAGACTACTTCAAGTTGCCAACACAGAAACAAATAAACCAAACCGGGTGGGGGGGGGGCTCTCGCGGCCCGGCGCCGCGCAAAAAGCGCGCAGGCGGGTGGGAAGGATGACCAGGAGGTTGGATCGCCCAGGACGCAAAATCGTTTCTTGGCCGGGATCCTCTTCCCTTCCCTGATCTGCCCTCGGGGAAGAGACCAGACCAGGCGGTAGGCCAGTGTCCCCTTGGGGAGCGCCGGGCTCCCTTTCTTCTTCGGGGCTCCCCCCACGAGCGTTCGGCCGGGTCGGATGACCGCCTGCCTCGGACAGACCCCAGCAGCAAAGCGCCCAGCCCAGCCCCGACCTCGCGCTTCAACCGATTACGCGTTGGCTCCCTTCGCCCCCGACCGACTCATCAGCCAGAGCTTCAACTTGATTAATCTACCGGGGGTTCAAAGTGGAGTTCCCTGATTACAAGCGAAGCTGAACGGCTCCCCTTTCCGGATTTTCTTTTAAAAGGGAGACTCTTAGCTAGTTTGCAAATTTACCGTTCACCAAATTAAAAACTCTGGATTCTTTGCTGGCCGTGCATTATTTTATTTATTATTATTATTATTATTATTATTATTATTATTATTATTATTATTATTATTATTATTATTATTATTATTATTATTATTATTATTATTATTATTATTATTATTTAATCTTTAATTCGATGCACAGTCTGGGACTGGTAAAAACAGTTCAAGTCCTAACCAAGGACCTAAGAGCTGTTAAGGTAACGTTTGAGTATAGATGCAGTTCCGAGTAAGGTGGTTTTTTGCAAAGTCAGAATATTCATGTCTAATAAATTCAAAATTTCCATGTACCTAGGCAGCCCTTTGGGTATTGCTCCAAGGGCTCCTATTACTATGGTTGGAGTTAGAATTAGTTACAATAATAATTATAAATAATAGTTATAAATAGTTATTGTATTATTTTATTATTTCTACTTGTAAATTGAAACTAATGTCAGATCTTCCTTGAAATAATAAATACCACTATTTAAAAGGAGATTTATGAGACGGATGTTCCTGCTGTGATATTTACCCGGCAAGAAATCAGGGTAACAATGCGAACTATTGCTGGTCTCCCCTCTCTCCAAGGCTTCTGAATCAACAAATGGATCAATTTGGGGGACATTCGTAATTTAATTAAGAAAAAATTAGCATAGATGTGAGGTTACTTGCTTCGCGCGGAGCTTCATGATGATAATGATGACACAATCATCACAATCACAACCAAAGAACAGGCATTTGACTCCGACCGAAAATCCAGATTTATTTATCCTCAGGAAAACATCAGCAATTATCTGCGTTTGTTTTTCGTTCTGGCGTGATCTGCAGGAGAGACTTTTAATTCTTTCTTTCTTTCTTTCTTTCTTTCTTTCTTTCTTTCTTTCTTTCTTTCTTTCTTTCTTTCTTAATATTTATTTATTTTCTGAACAAACACGCATAAAGATTATGGGACCCGCCCAAAGTTAGGCGCTTGCAAGACCTGCGCTGATTTTGAGGGGAGAAACTCACACGCTGGTGCCTTGAACGGGTTTCCTGGCGCAGGAGTTTGAACCCGCCAGGCGGGACCCCCTTGGCATGGAAAGCGGGAATAAAAGTAGAAAAGTGTGGGAGAGGCACTTCCTCGGACCCTCTCGCCTCATTCTCACCCCAGCTGTGCTACAGATGCGTTTATTTTAGAATTATTTCGATTTTAGTATTTGAGTCTTACGGGGTCTCAAATGTCAGCTTAAAATGGCTAACCCTAACCCCTGACCAGTATGGCTTTGGGGGCACTTAAATAATCTTACTTTTATTATTGTAAAAAAAAAAATAACCAACTGTTCTCACACCTTTCAAAAACAATCTCGGGGAGGAAGGAAGGAAGAAAGGGAGGGAGAGAGGGAGGAAGAACAAGGGGAGAGTAGAAAGGGAGAGATGGAGAAACAGAGAAGGAAGGATGTCTGGAAGGAAGGAAGGAAGGAAGGAAGGAAGCAAGGAAGGAAGGAAGGAGCTGATGGATGCCCTTTCTCTCTTTGAACCGTTTCCCCCCCAGACATCCCTCTCTGCGCAGGCTGCAACCAGCACATCGTGGACCGTTTCATCCTGAAGGTGCTGGACCGCCACTGGCACAGCAAATGCCTCCGATGCCACGACTGCCAGGTGCAGCTGGCAGAGAAGTGCTTCAGCCGTGGAGAGAGCGTCTACTGCAAGGAGGACTTCTTTAAGTGAGTGGACCAAGGCCGGCCTTCCCCCCCCCCTTTCCTTCAGCCCTTCCCCTCACCCGCGCTCCCCACTTTTCAGGAGCGCCAAAGGAAAGGAGGAGAGAAATACTTTCCGTCTTGCAAGACTCTGTGAATTCCAGTACAACGCGATCCCCGTTTCTCCACTTTTAACGTGCGAGCTCCAATTCCTGCATGCTTGTCATACAAACCAAATGAATTTCTCCCGGCTTTAATCCACAGGAGGTTTGGGACGAAATGCGCAGCCTGCCAGCAAGGCATCCCGCCCACCCAGGTGGTGCGAAGGGCCCAGGACTTTGTTTACCACCTTCACTGCTTCTCCTGCGTGGTCTGCAAAAGGCAGCTGGCCACGGGAGACGAATTCTACCTCATGGAGGACAGCCGGCTGGTGTGCAAGGCCGACTACGAGACCGCCAAGCAAAGAGGTGAGTCTGCTCAGCTCTTCCTCCACCTTGCAGCCCACGGGGGGGGGGGGGGCTTCTCCTGCTCAGCCTCCAAATGGGCACAAAGGTCCCGCCTCTCAAAATGAGGAAGCCACAGCAGATGGATTCCCCTGCAGGGAACAGTTGCTAAGCCCTACGATGGGGGGCCGAATTATTTGTGTGTATGCTTGCATCCCACCTTTATTGTGTTTACAATTGACCCAAGGAGATGAACGTGT